TGAGACACCCATGCTCCCCTGAGACACCCATGCTCCCCTGAGACAACCATGCTCCCCTGAGACACCCATGCTCCCCCTGAGACACCCATGCTCCCCTGAGACACTCATGCTCCCCCTGAGACACCCATGCTCCCCTGAGACACCCATGCTCCCCTGAGACACTCATGCTCCCCTGAGACATACAATTTATTAACAAATATATTCACCTTTAAAACTTAATTGACATACATTAATTAAATAAAGCAAAACACGTGTGTTACGGTGTATTCACTCCACTCATTCCAGAAATATCTCTCTACTTGGTGGCTTCAAACTTCAAGAACGGGAGGACATCTCATTCATATTTATAGCAAAGGGTTATTTAAGAATGAATCTCATGTTCGGTCATTTTCTGCCACCGGAGAGTGTCCGGATAATGCCGCCATAGAGCTAGCTAGTTCAGTGGTGGGGTAAAGCAGTAAACGTATACATTCAACAAATGTTGATGTGATTATAGTAAATTTTAAGAGATGTTCTCACTTTTTCTGGGCCACCCTTGTGTATATAATATATGCACTAGATCTCTACATATCACATTTCCAGGAGATCTACTTACCTAACTTGAACATCTGGGGAACCCAAATAAATCAACGTGTTGTGTCATGACGTCACAAACCTTCAAATCTACACACACTTGTTTATGATTATTTTCCTCTCCAACAATCACAATACAACTAAGGATGTTGGGGGGCAGTGCACAAATTATAGAACACAAAAATATGACTTTTTTAATCCAACCTCCTACCGCTTATAACGTTATTTAACATTTCCATTGACCAGCCCTAATATTTAATATTATACAACATATCTAACACCCCCCACCCCCTTTTTACGATAAATATTTGTACTACCGGTACTATAAAAAACTGAGAATTGTAAACTTATTATATCATTGATATATTTGATATTATCAAATTCACTTTAGTGCATTTGCTTTTGGCTGGGTGACAGAATTTTCAGACGGCTAATGGACCCACTTCCCGTCAACCTATTGAGCTTAAATTTGGCACTTAGACTAATTGCTGATGACAACACTTTCTTTAAATATCAAAGCCCCCCCCCCCCCCCTAACTTCGAATACTATTCTTTTTCTTCTGTTTCTCAAGGAGAATATGAATGAAATATGATGCCACTGATTTCATGAAGTAAATTTTCTGATAACTGTACTAAATGAGATTCTGCAATAAAAAATCTATCTTTCACCCATTTACTTACCAGTTTGTGGTAGTTAACAGACTATACTACAATGTGTTAGAGGGAATATGCTTATTGGAAATTGATTCTTATCTTATAATTTTTCCAACCAGCTTTTGCTAAACGCAAAAACCTGAGGTTACTTGGTAGGTTTTTAAAATGATGTCATCATTTGTTAATTATTTCGTATTTAAAGGCATCTTGTTTTATGGTGATCTGAGTTCGAGTTTAAAAAAAACGTTAAATTTCACCAGTGACTTTATTTGTAAAAGTGATAGACTGTGATGATGTGATCTGTACGTCCACTCAATAAAAGATAAATATCTATAGCAACTAAATGTCTACAAACCAAAGTCACCGTAGATTGCACTCTAAACTTGGGTCATCTCCCTTACGTTGTGAACTCTTTTGACGTCAGCTTAACTCGATCCACCTGGGCTTTGTGATGCCAGTAGTTATTGTACTCATTTTACATACTGTATGTTTATTTATGTACTATTTAGATACCGTATTGTACGATTTTGAGACGATATTTTACAATTTTTACAGGTCTGTAACCCAACCTGTATCAAATTCTGGTCATACTTCCATACCACCTGTACCAAAGTAAGGTGCTGCTACCATCACACCCTGTACCAAAGTCTGGTCATGCTACCATCCCATCCTGTACCAAAGTGTGGTCATGAAACAATCTCACCCTGCCCCAAAGTCTGGTCATGCAGCCATCCCACCCTGTACTAAACTCTGGTTCTGCTACCATCCCATCCTGTACTAAACTCTGGTTCTGCTACCATCCCATCCTGTACCAAAATCAGGTCCTTCTATCATCTCGCGCTGTACCGAAATCCGATCATGCTACCATCTCACCTAAACCAAAATCAGGCACTGCTACCATCTCACCCTGTACCAAAATCAGGTACTGCTACCATCCCATCATGTACCTAAGTATGGTCCTGCTACCAACTCACCCTGTACCAAATTCAGGTCTTGCTACTATCTCACCCTGTACCGAAATCCGGTCACGCTACCATCTCACCCTGTACCAAAGTCTGGTCCTGCTACCATCCCACAACATACCAAAGTCTGGTCCTGCTACCATCCCACAACATACCAAAGTCTGGTCATGCTAACTTCCATCA